CCCCCCTCCCCTACATCGGTCCAGCCCTATTAAGATGACTATTGTCCTTTTGTGTAAATTATTCTGGATGTAGGGTACGCTTAATAAATGTCACGCAATCTCTGACACATAAACACACTCAAAAAAAAACCAATAAGAAGTATCCTTGCATGGTTAATTCAACAAAAAAAATTTAAATTTGCATACCGTTCTCATGACTTCCCGTCGGTCAAAGGGTAAATATCTGTGTGCTGGCTTAGGTGGGTTCTGGTTAACAGTGCACGAATACCAATAGCACCTCTTTGTTGGAGGGGTTTAGTTTAATTTTGTTTTACTCCATGCCTCCATTGTTGTGGTCTGTCACTGTGTGGTTGGTGATGGAGAAAGTGTGAGGGAGGTGGGGAAAAGTGGAGCCTGTCCAGGAGACGACGCTGACAATGAAGATGAAAAACTGAAGCAGGCTGCGGCTCCCTAGATGAATCTCATGAGTTTTGTTTTTTTGTGCAAGTGCACATGTACATGTGTGTTTACGTCGTGTGAGTGTGCGTGTGTGTTTGTATGTCACGACAGGAGAATCTCTCCAGCGTCTCTGCTCTGATGGTCAGAGGAGAGAGAGGAGGCAGTTTCTCACCCGCTGTGTTCATTCATGCCGCTTTCATCTCTTTTAACAAACTTGCTTTCTAGTAGACACTCACAGGACCTTAATGATCCATAAGCTGCTGAGAGCACAGGCACACAGCCCATAGCGAGAAGTGTGTTTAACAGAGGAAAATAAGCCGGCTCACCTTTTTCTTCCTGAGGTTTGTGCGCGTGTGTACATCGCCCTGGAGAAATCGCCCAGTGCCCTCTTTTTTGCTCGCTATCTCTGCCTTGTTAACCCACTGAGGGCTCCCTCACACAGGGTTTTCATTCTGCTTTCTGTGGTCTCACTGCTCTCTTTACACACACACACAAACACACAAACACTCACAAATGCACATACACGCACAGTAAAAGTTGTGTATCAATATATCTGGATGTCATTGTTTGCAACATAATAAAATTCTGTAAATATAACTTGCCCGTGTGTGTGCTTTCTTTGAGGAGGAGGAACAAGAACTCAAAGAGCAAGTTTGGATGCTTCAGCACATTATTCAGTCCGTTTGATATTAAAGGCATCTGATTGGATGCTGCAACTGCTGCACTTGTTGCTTTTAATAGTCAAAAAAAGCGGGCTAGTCTGCATGTCAAAGTAAGAGCTTTGTAGTCTGTGTGCTGAAGAGGCGTTTAAGTGCTTTCTTGATAGGATTTTAATTGATTTAACACAAATAACCAATTCTGTGGAGACTTGTTTGTGCTATTGGTTTTATTTGTAACATACGCGTCATTTAATCCGAAAAGTATTTTGGCTCTTGGAGAGCAGTTGGTGCTTGTAAATCGGCAAGCACTAAACATTGTCAGCTTAGATTTTAAAGCCTGTCTGCTAACTTTAGGTCGCCAGACTAAAATCTTAAGAAAGAAATGGGTCAGTCGAGGAAAAACTGCAGCTGTAGACAGCCAGTATTATTTATGTATAACTATCAGGCTCAGGAGCACTGATGTTAGTCTGACGCTACAGTGCAGCCTCTTCAGGGCGACTTCCATCCAGTGAGGAGGTCATATAGTCACTGTTGCTGATGCAAATAGAAGGAATGGATCAATCTCGAGTATTTTCTTTAATGAAAGATAAGATGAGAGACACAAGATGTGATTTAAAAACGAGATGTTTGGGTGCTGTGTGTGTGTGTAAAGTAGTTTAAAGTCCAGTTCTTTACACTGAAGAGTTCAGGGCTTTTTTTTTTTTTTTTTTTTTATTTTTGGGCCTTTTTTTTTTTTTTTTTTTAATCAATTATGTACGGCACCTCAGCCTACTTCTGTGCTCTCTCACACACACCTGCTCACTCACCCACACAGCAATTACTCTTCCTCTGCGCCTCCTGGTATCCTAGCAACAGTTGCCTGGATGGCAAGAGCAAACCACCACACCTTGCTCTGTCCTGCAGACCTGTGAGGGTACTCAAATACTGCTAGCTATAGAGGACTGCAAAGGGTAGGTGCAAATGCCAAAATGGGGATTGATCACTACACGAGTTCGTGCAGTGATTGTGTCTTCGTGGGATTTAATGAAAGAATAATGAAACATGTCTCAGTCTGAAACTGGCGTTTCTCAAAAGAGGCACTGGAGTAGAAACACTGGCCTACATCCGCCCCACCACCTCTCTCTCATATATGGCTTTTGCCCGCTTTCTCCCTCGTGCAAGCTGAATACTTCATGAGATAGAAGAAGGGAGACGGGGGAGAAGGCTCACTTTCTCATTTATATTGCTTCTAGGTCACCCATTTCTACATAGTTCTGTAACGAGACTGTTGATATGGATTCATGGCACAGAGAGAGACAGTGAGCTGCAGGGAGCTGTGAGCCAGCATCGATTTAAATAAGCTGGCATGATAAGAAAGTGCGGAGAGGTTTCAAGGTCAGTGTACAACACAGACACGTCAGATGCTGCAGTATTGATTCAACCACAGAGAAGTAAACTGTTTCATGCATTTGTCTGCATTTGAAGATCTCCGCACTCGTGTAATTTATAGGTTTCTGTGTCAGCTCAGTGTAGCTTAGATGAATCCCCTTTTAGTTTACGTGACCGGTGTTATAATCCCTGCAATGCCCGGTGAGAGCGTTCGGGAAAGCTTCAGAAATGGATATGTTACAGGATGTGGCGCCCTCTGGTGGTAGCGTACATGAGGAGGCGAAAACTGCTGCCTCCCAGCACTTTGCAGCAGCAAGTAAGCAGGGGACACATAAATGTAATGGAAAACGGAAATAGAATAACTTTTAAAGGTTGTTTTTGTCTTCACAATGACAACAACAACAAAAAGCTATAAATAAAGTTTCAGATTAAACTTAACGCTTCAGGTGATCAGCATTAACTGACGACATAATGTAATTTTCTAAGATGCTTGCCAGATAGAAATTTAAATTTCTATCATATGAGTAATTTTTCTTCCCCTATGTTGCTTCCTTTTGGTCTCCAGTCTGTAGATCCAGGAATGATGCAACACCTCTAACTGGGTCAGCCTGTGCCTTCCTCGCATCCCTCCCGCCTTCCCCACCATGCTTCAAGTCACCCCTCCTCTTCTTCCTCCTCCTTTCCTCCCACCCCTCTATATGCAAACACTCCTATAGTTTTTTTTCACCATGCATCTCATGTGCTGCGGCCTCTTGTCTCACTCTCGCCCCCAGCCCCCTTCTTTTTTTCTGCCTGATTCATTTTCTCCCGTCCATGCATGCTGTCATAGTGTCTCAGCCTGTTGCTAAATGACTCCCATCGCGCACGCACGCACGCACACGCACGCACACACACACACACACACAGCCACTTTATGCTGGCTAGTTGTTATTGTGGTTTTCCCACACAAACCTGACTCTTAACCGTGTGGATCGTAATGGTGTCAGTAGGTTTGTATGTACAGGAAGGGCACATTGCGTGGCAATGGGAGCTCTAAATGTATTTCTGAGCTGCTCTTCAGATTGGCTGACACTCTCAGACCTCGGTGCGGTGGAGAATATATATGACTGAGCAGTGTCCAATCAATGATTGTTACCATGCAGCCACATACTCTACATATGTGCATGCATACACAGCATACATTCATAAATATCGCTGTAACTGTAATATATTTCAAGCACTATAACTCTATTAATCGGTCCCCTGAGAGAAACACACTGCATGAACCTTAAAGGATACATTATAGAACAAAAGACATGGCCATAAATCTATTATACCAAAGGGCAGGAGCATGTAGCTACAGAGAGGGAACATCCCCTTTCTTTATTCCAGTGTGTGGCACAGAAACAGCGTGGATGAGACTTTAAAAAAAAGTGAGGTAAATGGCAGAAAGGAAATATAATTTACTGTAAAATAGGTTTTATGGGAAAATAATTGCAACTACTTGTATGTTTTTTTAAAATAATAATTAAGTAACATTTTGTACATCACAGTACATTGTGGTCAGCTGCTTCTCCTCGGATAAGTCCCGCCCCCTGGTGATTTGACTGACAGCTCTGATCCGGAGACGAAAGGGTGGCCAGTCACGCTCTCGCCATGCAAATGAGCTGCGCTCGGGCCGGGCGGGTGCCCATGTGGACCAGCACCATGCCTTGTTGTTCTGAGTGCCGATTGGCTGGCTGGCGCCTGATCGGGCTTCATGCGCTGCGGGCCAGCGGCGGAAAGAAAAACATGGAGGGACGTTTACGGCTACGGGGGTTTCCTTTCTCGAATCCCGCGGGGATAACGCCACTACACGAGGAGCCCCTTTGTTCGCGGAGCTTGTAATTCAACTTCATGCCATTAGGAATGTTAATAAATGAACAATGGAAGGTGCTAACAAGCTGGTAAATTAGAGAGCGGAGGAATGGGGAGTGGTTCGGTCGCCGGATTTTGTGGGTGGCCATAGTAACAGGGCGGGGCAGTAATCCGGGAGGGGCGGGTCCTAACGAGAACACGACTCGCCTTGTTGTGTGTATTCCCGTGCTCGCATCGCCATCTTGTTGCCATCCTATTTTTTACGTATGCGAGGATCTACTTTCCGTTCGGCCGGATTAAAAATCGCCCGTGTGCTTTCAGGAGAAACCCAAGGGACGAAAGGTTTGGGAGGGCTGGTGTGAACCGTGCATACGACGCTTACTACTGGGACGCTACTTACCTCCCTCCCCCCTCCCTCGGTCTTTTTCCTCCTTCCGTCCCGGGCTACCGGGTCTCCTGCCGTGAGGTTTTACGCGCAATGAGCATCGATACGCTTCTGGAGGCGGCCAGGTATCTGGAATGGCAAGCCCAGCAGCAACAACAGACCACACGTGGTGAGTTGAACAGCAGACCAGGGGGTTCGTGCTCAACGTGCAGGGCAGTGTGTGTGTTTAATACCATACTCCCTTTTGAGGAACCGACACCCGTTACTACCAGCGGGTTGCATTTGTAA